TCGCGCTGAGCTTCACAAGAACCCCTAGCCCCTAATTTCTTTTCCTACACTTGACTTTTCCCTCTCTTTCACTCCCCCTCTCTTTCCCTGTGTGTGTGTGTCTCCTTGGTGGCGCTTGTCAAGGTGGAAGAGTATAGCAACTAAGGGATATCGTATTTCGGCGCTTCACGTTTCACTTGTCCTAAGTGGCTAGACAAGGGAATGGACCAAATTGCCAGACAGTATATTTTAACTATTGGTAAATATTGTAACCCCCGCCAAATAATAAAGCACGATGAGAAAGCATTTTTGGGATAATAATAATAGCAAAAAAGATATAATAATAATAATAATAATAATAATAATAATAATAATAATAATACAACTAATGCCAGATAACATACTATACAGACACTTTCCGGCAGGGTAGGGGTGGTAAGGTTGTTTTTATTTTTTTGCAGTCCGGTGAATTTAATAGCCCAAAGAAAACAAAGTCACACTCTTAGGCGCTGAGAAATAAAGTGAGCAAATAATGGTGTATGTGAGCGGCCATCAACACCACAGTGTTTATAGATTTCTGGTGGTTACGTATCTGGTATTCTCAATGGACGCCAGGCAATCAAAGTGTACATCTGCATGACTTCTACTTTCATCCGTGGCCATTTGGTGGTTGTAACGATCCTCCATTATAAGCACATTTCCTTAACCTTACACATGCTGCGTGCATGCCGGCAAGGGGGGGGGGGTTGTATTTTCCGCTCCGCTTGGAAGCTTGAATTGAAGCTCGGAGAACCTTCCCTGGGTGTGTGTTTTGCATGTGTGAGTGAGAGTGTCTGTGTGTCTGTGTGAGTGTGTGCATGTGTGGTGTGTGTGAGAGAGTTTGAGCGTGTGTGTGTGTGTGTGGTGTGTGAGGCGGGGTGGGGGGGGGGACAGTGGGTAGCTTGGGCGGAGAAGGTGATATAGGTAAAGCAACAGGACATCCATCTTTGCTGTTGTTTTTGCTTCCTGTTCCTGTCAGATGAAGACCTGATTTTCTATTCACAGCGGGTGGCAAATCGTTTTCCACAATTAGCGATCAAGTACTGCCTTTCGATTGATACAATCCACCGAAAAAACACCAATCATATACTGTATACAACATGACATTGGATGTTGTTTACTTGCATGCAGTTGCTTGAATGTGTCCTTGCTTGTTTGTTTGTTTTAGGAAGCATCAACACTATATCTTAACTGAAGGCATACTGTCATACAGATTGGACTATCAAAGTCAAAGTGTTTTATTTATCAAATGTACAGTAAATCACAGGGTCATTCTGAACAGTGAAATTATTATGACATGGCAGCAACAACCACATAGTAGGCATAGAGAAAAACAACTCTGTACCCTCTTTGAAAAAAGGCATATGGCTGCAAAACCAATTACAGAGCTGCCGCATGCATTAGCAGATGTTGATTTAAATAAGACATTTTTATAAATGGATTCATTATATGTGTCAGTTTCACACCTTGCACATCTTCTCCCTTTCTGGTTCATAGAGACAAAGGCTATTGCTCCTAATCAATGTATCCACACCATGGCTTTTAGTGGCTGATAAATTATCTTCCCTGGCATTTAATCAAAGAAGGCTGCAACCACGTGAATAATTTATTTAGCATTCTTACTTATTACTTATTTTTACTTAGTTTTGATTTTGTGCTTTATTTGACTTTCCTTTATATATTGAAACTTTTTCTAAAAATCTTCTATATTTTTAAGATTTTAGTATGTTTTTAATTATTCATTCATTCAATATTCACATCAAAAGTTATTGGCTGTACCCCACATAGACCACTACTTGAAGGATCTACTTTAAATTTACACATTTACATATCCATTTAGCATTCAGATCCATTTCTCTACAAAAAGTGCAGTGATTCTCGTAGAGACGTTTCTCTTTCATCAGCTTGAAGCTGCAATGGTCCCATCGTCATCCCAAGCCCCAGCCCCGAAAAAAGCCTACAGCCTCTGCAAAAATACTCGAAAAGTTGAACATATTGCCCCCGATACTTTCTTCTTCCCTTCTTCCCGCCAATTGATGCTGGATCAGATGTAAGATGCTGGCTCATTAACTCCCACACAGAGAAGCAGGTCTTATGCTTAGCTGACCTTGTATCCTTTCCTTGTGAGGCATCTGGATTCGCGACATTGCGCGAGAATCCATCTTGCCAGGCTTAAAGTATGCGCTTGTGACTGAACCACAGTGGTTCGGACCAATCAACATCCTTTGAGGAACTACTGGCAGCTATGGGCGTGGTTTTGGTGTGACGACAGCAGGAAGCGACTGTTGGTTCGAAAACAACAATGGCGGCTCCGTAAGGGGTTAGCGTAAAAGCTGCTATAGCATCAGTTATATCTGAAATGGAGAGTATTTCTTCGTTAATATGATATGCCATTTGGTGAACACTTTTAACCAATACAACAATAATAATTGAGTGCACACATTTTCCAGCGTGGTTGGTCGCAGAGGGAATCGAACCCCTAACCTTGGCAACGCTAATGTCACGCTCTACCAGTTGAGTTAGACAGGACATCATTCATCTCTCATTGGAAGAAGAGCAAAGAACGGCACTAAGGCTTTTCTCAAATGGAAAAGATGTTTTTGCTTATCTCCCGACTGGCTTTGGCAAGAGTTTGCTCGCCCATCATATGGGCTGTTGATCTGATTGGTTGAAGTAAGCCTGTGATTTATCCAATCACCTGCCAATTATTTGCCTGCCTTTTTCCAAACAGTTTCCAAACACAAATTGTCAGATGGTTCTGTGTAACAAACCATCACCCCAAGACCCCCCACTGTGGACCCTCCGGTCCTCAGGAGCTGTGTTTTCATACAAAGTTACAAGCAAACCAGCGGGCGTCAGACCTTTCTCTTATCAGGGGGGGGGGGGGACTGTTTTCATAAGGTAATCAGGGGAATGGAGTTTGCATATTGTTTTCAAACCTACTTTTACTCCGTCTTGTTTGGCCGACATCTTGTCATATTCAGCCAGGAGCATCTGTCCATCTCTTAATAGAGTTAGAGGTGCTTGTCTTGATCGCATTAGCCAACTCCCCCCCTTCTGCAAGGTCGTCCTACACACACGCTATGTCCATCACTCTCTATCTCATCTTGGTGCTGTCTCTCTCTGGGGCCGTGTTTAAATCACTCCCCCCGCCCCCCCGAATTCAACATCACATCCCTTTCTGTTGCGGGATGACTTATCATCCATAGTCCATCAGCCTGTCCCCTTTGGATTTTCTGACGTGAAATCTGCCCTATGAAGACCCTCTAGATCGGCCTGCACTGCTGCACACCTCACATGAGCTACAGGCCGATTCCGGCTCACCCACCGCTGCTTCCATTGTTATGCAACTTGTACTGCTACTTTTACTACTGCTTCCCTTCTAGACCTACAGTAGCACACTGTGGACTGTAACACATGTGTAACTGTGGAGGAAACACTGGCTGAACACTGCTAGACTCTATTTCAGTCAGCTAGAGAAGTCACTCCGGGAGGAAGGAAGTCCATTTGATTTATGTAGTCTTTAATCGTAATTCCAGTCTCAAAGGGCTTCACAGGCCACACTTACATGACAACCCCTAACCCTAAACCCCCTAAAGGGCACAGACAACCTCCCTTAATTATCCAGGAAGAAACCTTGAGAAGGAATGCAGAAAGAGGGATCGCTCCTTCCAGGGATGGTTAGGAGTACAATGGGTGCCATATATGGACAGACATAACAAGCGAAACAAAGTAGTGGCTTTGTTTGACTTTCTTCTTAGCTCCTGTCTTCACTCACTGTTTTTGTACCTACCACTACCCATAATTGACATCATTAGCTAAAGAAGCATGGAGGTTTTCTTTGCACAATCCAAGCCATAATTTACATCTGAATGTGGGCAACAGAAGCCCTTTGATATTGTCAAATCAGCTATATGAATACAGTTTTATAAATGTAGAGTTTCGACCACCAATTTTGAACCACCAAACAATGGGTGAGTTGATTGTCTGGCAATGATATGCCCCCAAAGAAATAACAAACCAAGGAAGGAAGTGGAAATAAACGTAGCTGGTTTTTGGTTTGACTTTTTCTCTTCCCTTCCCCACTTCATTCCAGATGGAACATGTTGTCCTTTTAGTCGCCTGCTGGTGTCACAGGTCATCCAACTGTGTGGTGCATCATGGCGAGCACTTAATCGGACGCAAGTACAGAAAAGTCATGAGTACAGAAACCCCCCCCCCCCCCCTCCCCCAACACACACGTCACCAACTCGGAGCGTCGTTGAATGCTGTTGCACATGGCCGCTGTTGCAAAAAACAAAAGACAGGGGATGGGATTCATTTTGTGTACAGCTGCCGCTATAAAGTGTTACCCATAACTGCTGCCACCTGCAAACCCTGCAGCCCCCCCCCCCCCCCCCCCCCGCCCCCCCCGCAAAACTAAAGCCTTAACAGATTGTAATTATCATGTAATAACAAAGGAACAGGCATCCTACTGCGGTGTGCTGTTGTGTCTGCCATTGCTACCCACCGTTTGTTGTGGTTGGCTAATACCAGAAGGAGACGCCAACCAAAATGTCGCATGGTAGGATTTTGGATGGAATCCACTTGGACAGATGTCGCTCCCTCAAGCATACCTATATTTTGTGTGTGCTTGTGTGTGTGTTTTTGAGTGTGTGTGTGTGTCTGTGTGCGCGCGCACGTGTGTGCATGTATGTGCATGTGCATGCGTGTGGTGTGAATGTTAAGGTTCAGGCGGCCGCTACCGTGTACTGCGGCGATGTGCATAATGACACAGATTAACATGACATTGTTGAGGATGCTGCTTGCTGCCAGCGGTTGCTTAGCAATCGCTGTGGACCTCAACCTCTTACACTACTATTCAATCTATGGAATATTGTGCAGATGATGTAAATGTGTTTTTACGAAGGACCTTTTTTGTCACACCATTAAGGTGCACCTAATGATGGCAACTCGGTAGTGGTTATTGAGACATTTAAAACGCAACATATGATGCATCTGTGATGAACCGATGAGTGGTATCAAAAGGATTTGTAGTAGATACGGGTAAAACAACGGCGTCGGATATATTCCATGCAAAACCAACGTTGACATTTTTCCATAAGACCTAATGGCATTCAAAAGCTAATTTTTCCTGTGTTGTGTTGTGTAGTGTTGTGAGTCTGAGTGGGTGTTTGTGTGAGTGAGTGTGTGTGCGCGCATGCATGTGTGTGTGTGTGGCATTTGAAGATCTCCATCTCCATGTTCCCAATTAAGGTTCTTCTCCTGACCGGCGTTTCTGAAATGGCATCGTATAATGGGCAGCGCTATAATGACATGCCTGGCGAGGCTGACGTTCCAGTCTGTATAAAAAGAGACGAACAAAACGTAACAAAACAAACCAAAAAATGTCCCAGCATATGAAGGAATTCACTAAAATGAGGAACCATTGACACATGGGGACCAGACACTTACATGCACCTAAGGCATTAGAAATGCACTGCTTCAATGCCAGAGTCAGCGTGACCTGTATTATCGCTATTAGTTGCCTTTTTATTTGCCTGGAACTCACTCGCGCAATCACTCAATTCATTTTGTCATGGTTTGCGAATGAGTCACCGCTGGATATAGCCTATGTATTTCTTTGTTGGGAGAAGATTGATGGTCATTTCTCGAGGGAAGGTATTTCCAGGCAACGGCCGGTCACATACACTTCTGAAATACCAGGGTGGACATTAAAATAGTAGTTCCCCAGAATAAGTTTGCTTCAGAAATGCCTCTGCACAGAAAGTACCCACAATTTCCTCTACCTTTTCCTCTCCTTATCCTCCCCCCTACTTTTATTCAGCAAACACAGAATGGATGAACCTGCACTCAACATCCGCTGAATATTTTCAGGAATTTTCCGGGGATAATGTGTTGAATGTGTCTCCGTCTCTGAACTGGTTTTAAGTTTCTCCACTTTGGTTTTTGATTGCATCAAATAATCGGATCCCTGTGTCTGGAGCTACATTCGTATTACCACTCAAAAGTGTATGTTAAAACAAATGTTTAATATATAACATATGAAGATTGAACAATTGGATTTGACATTGAATTCATTTTTAATAAGCGATGAGCAGATCGTTCTCTTTCAGCAGACTACCCACCGCACAGACTACCCACTGCACCATACAATTTTACACATATTTTATTAACAGAACCACATAAATACCATCACACACTCAGGTGTAGCTTTCGGCAATCAAAATGATCCCACATTTCTGTGCTCTCCAAATAGGGCAATCAATTATTAAACGGAGAATAGAAAATGTCGGCTTCAATCGAGCGAACACTGCTAGGTGCCCGTACTTATAATTGAGCTGTATGGTGTGCACTTTTAAAAATGGTAAAAGGGGAAATCATTTGAGAAAGTGTGCGGGGGACGGTGCGTGTGAACGCAGTGCGTGACCTTGTGGGAAACCAGTGACTTGTTGAAGCTGTACCCCCCACAGGGAACTGGGGAATAAAGCAGTTGAGAAAATAAACCCACGCACCCCTTCAGCCTCTACTCTTCACCGTCCTCCACCACCGCTTCGCCATGACTCACCTCACTAATTTGTCCATGCTATGCGCGCTCGTCTTGGACGTAGCCACGCTTGCCCCCCCCCATCTGGGGCCGACGTGCCGCGGCGTAGCGGTGGCAGTGGCAGCGGCGGTGCTGCTGGGCTCAGCGAGAGATAATCGAGTTACCCAGGTTGTGAGGAACGCTGTGCAGGAGGGATTTTTTTTTCATCACATCTGGGACGGTGACTAACAACGTTAGCTACAAAGTGCTGTGACATCTGCTTGTATCTGTTTGCTGAGTGACAACACACTGTGTGTCATTGTGTTGAATGACTTACCCTTACAACCTTCACTGAAGTTTTGTGTATAAATCGCATTTATGCTCAGTCTACTTTACTGTATGTGATGTGGCATCTGTTTAAATGAGTGGCTAGGATCGGGCAGGTACTTTTCAAAGTAAATGCCCCAGCAAAACTGCATTCAAACAGTGTACAGTATAAGATTAAAGATGTGGTGTGTCTTTAAGGGTAAACACATGTCTTTTTTGGTTTTGTAGGACAAAGGGCACACGTGGACATGTCGCGTAACCAAGAGGTGTGTGTGTGTGTGTGCATGCATATGTGTGTTGTGTCTATTTTAGTCCCTATACGTGTCAGAGGCTACAGTGGCTTCTGTCGTGTCAGGCGCATAGAGGCTTTAACTTTGGAGAGTGTTGCTGGCTCAGCACGGCGATAAGTTGCATATCATTCTCTCCAATGTCCTTCACTATCAGTTCTCTCTCTCTCTCTCTCTCTCTCTCTCTCTCTCTCTCTCTCTCTCTCTCTCTATATATATATATATATTCTCCGCAACACATCCTCATTTTAAATTCCATTTCTCAACCTGATCCTTTCCACTGGATTAAACAGAAGTGGCAGATACAAAAACCCACCAAAAATAGAAAAACATTTTCCGAGGGCTTGACTCTCAGGGCTTGACTTAAGTGTGATGTCATATT